CAAACTATGCATCTGACAATGGATTAATATCCAGAATATACAAAGAACTCAAACAACTCAACACTAAGAAAACAAGTAACCAAATTAAAAAATGGTCAAAGGAGGCGAATAGATATTTCTCATATGAAGATATACAAATGGCCAACAGACACATGAAAAGATGTTCAGTATCACTCAGCATCAGGGAAATGCAAATCACAATCACACTGAGATATCATCTCACCCCAGTTAGACTGGCTGTTATCAAAAAGAGAATATGAAATGCTGGTGAGGATGTGGAGAAAGTGAAACCTCCTACACTGTTGGTGGGACTGTAAAATAGTGCAGCCATTATGGAAAACAATGTGGAGTTTCCTCAAACAGCTATAGATAGAACTGCCGTTCAACCCAACAATCCTATTCCTGGGGATATACCCAAAGGAATGGAAATCATCATGTCGAAGGTATACCTGCACTCCCGTGTTTATCGTGGCTCTATTTACAGTAGCCAAGAGTTGGAATCAACCTAAATGTCCATTGACAGATGACTCGATAGGGAAAATGTGGCATATATATACTTAATGGAATACTACTCTGCCATGAAAAAAGAATGAAATTCTACCATTTGCAGCAACATGGATGAACCTGGAGGAAATCATGTTAAGTACGTGATTTTTCACAGCAAGAGAAATACTGCATGTCCTCACTCATAAGTGGTAGCAGAAAGAAAGAAAAGGAAAGGAAAGGAAAGGAAGAAACGATCGCAATAATACATTAAACTTTCAAAGCAAAAAGAGTGAACAGAACTACAGAACTGTAGTTATTAGAGGTGGGAAAGGGCGCAGAGGAGGTGGGTTGGCAAGAAACCTGTTAAGGGTCACAAAAGTTTATTATGTTTTATAAACATGAGTATACTAATTATCCTGGTTTGATCACCACATATTGTACACATGTATTGATATTAGATTCTCTATCCCACAAATATATATAACCAATAAAATAAATAAATAAATAAATAAAATATAAAATATCTAGGAATAAACTTAGCAAATAATGTTTTAAGGCCATATTTGTTTAAAAACTATTAATCTTGACTGCAGGACATTTAAAAAATTTTTAAATACCTAATTGACAAAGATCGAATATATTCAAGGTGTACAGTATGATGATTTGATGTACTTATACAGTGTGCAGTGATTACTACAATCAAATTAACATATTTATCACCACCCATGCTGTGCATTACATCCCCAGAACTTGTTCATCTTATAACTGAAAGTTTCTACATTTTGGCCAACACCTCTCCATTTTCTCCTCCCCCAGCTCCTGGCAATCAATCGCCATTCTACTCTTTGCTTCTGTTCTGGGTGTATATCCAAAGGAAGTGAAATCAGTATCTTGAAGGGATATCTGCTCCTGCCTGTTCATTATAGCATTATTCACAATAGCCAAGATTGGAAACAACATAATTGTCCATCGATGATGAATGAATGAAGTGAAATAAATTGTGACATATATACAATGGAATGATATTCAGCCTTAAAAAGGAAGGAGATCCTGCCATTTGCAGCATCATAGGTGAAGTGGAGGACATTATGCTAAGTGCAATAAGCCAGACACAGAGAGACAAATATTGTATGATCTCACTTAAATGTGAGGGACATTTAAAAAAATTTTTTGAATGTGTTTAGAAATACATCCTGTTTCTGGATGAAAAGGCTATATTGAAATATAGCAGGTATTCCAAAATCTAGAAATTTAATTAAAAATTTCTTACAAAAATCTTTGATTTGGAGGGAGAATAACATTAATTCAGTCAGTATCTGTTTTCTATCTACCAGGCATTGGACACAATACTAAGCTAAAGTGTTAGACAATGAAATAGATTAAGAGAATAAAAAAGAATGTCCAAAAAAATTATATTAAATATATCTTTGTACATATGGGAATGGAGCATTGGTATATGGTAAAGGTGGCATTTCAGATCAATGTGTAAAGAAAGGATATATTGTTCAAGAAATGTGTTGGAATAATTGGCTTTTCAGAAAAATACTTAGACCTTGCCATGGATTGATTCAATTTTGTCCCCTAAAATTCGTATATTAGAAGTTTAATTCCCACTATAACTGTTGAGTGTGGGGAATCCTATTGTGGTAATTGAAAGGTGGGGCCATGAAGAGGTGATTAGATTGTAGGACCATGCCATAAGGAATGGATTAATAAAAGTGATTAGGGGCATGCTTCTGAGGGCTTTAAAAGGAGATCACATGAGAGTCTCTCTCTCTGCTCTGCCATTTTCTGCCATGTGAGACCGCTGTATTGCTTTAAAGCCACCACCAAAGAAGACCCTCATGAGATGTGTTCCCTGGACTTTGGACTTCCTGGTCTCTGAAACTATAAGCAATAATGTTTGTTTTCTTATAAATCACCCAGTTCCAGGTATTTTGTCATAAGCAACAGAAACAAAGTAATACAGACCTTACCATCTATCATGCAAAAATTAGTTCTAGGTGGAATAAAGATCTAATCATAAAATACTATAAAAAGTATAAGAAGAAAGAAGAGAGGAGTATTTGTGTAATCTTGAGATTGGAAAGACCTTCTTAAGCAAAACACAATCTAGAAGTCATGAAAGAAAAAATTGACATACTTGAATACATCAAAATCAATACATTTCTGTTGATCACAATATGACATATACAAAGTTAATGGATAAATGAAAAGCCAGGAGAACTGTTTGTAACATATATCTCAAAGGACTAATACCCTTTGTGTACTCAGAGCTCCTATAAATTAGTGAGAAAAAGATGAATGCCCTCTAGGAAAATTTTTAAAGTTTATGAGCAAATAATCCACAAAATAAGACACATAAACAGTCTAATAAATGAAAGATACTTGAGTTCATCAGCAGTCAAATAAATGAGAGTTTAAAAGATCACTTAGATATTGGTTTCTAGCCTTTCATTTTGACAAAGATTTAAAAGATTCATAATACTGCTACTGGTAAATAGGGTAGGAAAACAGAAATATGCTAATGGTGGGAGTTTAAATTGCTACAATATATTGCTGACTTTTTCCAGGGCAATGTGATAGCATTATCAAAAATTAAAACATGTTTATGCTTTAATCCAGAAATTTCACCTCTAGGAATTTTTCCCAGGAAAATACCATAAGGGTGTATGGTCCTAGTTGTATATGTAAGGAAGCTAATTTCAGCACTACTTATAATTACCCTCCCAAAAAAGGAAACAGCTCTTAAGTCCATAAAAGGGGATTTGTTCAAGAAATTGTAGTACATCCATTATAAACTATGCAACTATTTAAAGACGTAGATCTACTGGTATAAAAACTAGTACAGAAACATGTCTGTGACATATTGTTAAGCTTTTAAAAAATCAAATCTCAGAATAATATGTATAGTGTGATCCCGTTTGTATTTAAGAAGGAAAACAAGCTAGGTTTATATGTTTGTAATTTATTTTAAAATTTAATTTAAAGCATAATTGAGATTGTAGTGTATAATCTATAACGTTTTTTTTCAATGCAGTGGTTCATGGAGTTCCATCCATGTCACTACATATCAATTTACCTCATCCTTTTTGGTTAATATATAAATATTAACATTCTGGTTGTTTTAAAATACTGTCTGTGTATATATATATAATATATTTATAAGACTAAAGATTCAGGAAGAATATCTACATAATTGTAAGATCATATTGGAGAAGGAAGAGGACTTTTATACTAGTTTATTGTTTAAAATTTTTAAGTATAGGTATATACTTTAAAACAATGAAAACATTTCTATTTGAGGGGGAAAAAAAAGTTAAAAAAAATTTATGTCTGTAGAAAGTGTAATGCTGGAAATCTCTCCAAAATATCTTTAAAACTTGAAAAGTCATTACTATTGAAATTAACAATAAGGTATAAAAGGATGATGGGAAAAGAATAGGAAGAAGGAATCAGAAGGAGATTTTCAAAGGGAAAGACATATGAATGAAAGTAACAGCAACTTTAGGAATTCAGTCAGCATCCCAGCCTCTGCTTTAGTATGTTTGTAGTTCATTTTTTAATTTATCTTTCTACCAAAAAAGAATATGATTCTTTGTAAAAATTAGTTGATGCTTTTTCTTTCTTTATGAATGGAGAAGGGACCATAAACATTTAAGCAAACACATTAACTTTATAGCATTTTAAAATCTCATTTTCTCTGTCAGCTGTTTATTACCTCAAGCTATTTTTCCCGAACTCCTATAAATAGACATCGTTTTCACTTAGCATAAGGTCCTCCAGTATCGTCCACATTGTTGCAAATGACGGGACACAGAAAGGCAAGGCAAATATTGCATGATATCACTTACATGTGGAATCCAAAATAATTGGACTTAGAGAAATAGATTTCAGAATGGTGGTTGCCAGGGGCTGGGGAGTGGGGAAAATGGAGGGATGTTGGTCAGAGGGTACAAATGTTCAGTTATAAGATGAATAAGTTCTGGGGATCTAATGTACAGCATGATGACTGTAGTTAATAGTAATGTATTGTATATTTGAAATTTGCTGAGGGAGTAGATCTTAAAAGTGTTCTCACCACAGACACAAAAAAGGTAACCGTGTGAAGTGATGTATGTGTTAATTAGCTTGATTATGGGAATCATTACATAAGGTATACTTATATCAAAACACCATGTTGTATACTGTAAATAGGTACAGTTTTTTATTTGTCAATTGTACCTCAGTAAAGCTCAAAAAAATTTTAAAAATAATTTAAAAAGTTATAGTTTTAAATTTACATGTTATAGTGTGAATGCAAATTATACATCTTTTAGCCTTTCACATAAGAAAAATAATTTTTCATATAAGATTTGAGAAACGGTGCTTTGTGTTATATGATCTAGAGATTATACCTTTACTGTTGATTCTGACCTGAGTGTTCATATAAAATGCCTGACATAAATTTTAAAATATTTTTATTTCAACTTTTAAAAATATATGTTATTTGTCTCACTTTTTGTTTTAATTAGGTAACTGGGAAAAAGATATATGCTACAAGTGAGCAAATTTATGAAGCAGTTAAATCATTGTGGACAAAAAGCAACAAAAAGGAGTCACTCCCTGAACCTAAAGAAAAAACTAAGGTAGAGTTTAAATGGACCAAAAAGGTAGACACTAAGTTTGGTTTGGGTGGGTATTGGCTTGCAGTGGGGGTACTGCACAGAGGTCAAGTATAGAATGAAAATAGATGAAGGAATCATAATAGTTCGGCATACTATAATTTTTTTAGGATATTTTATTCTTTTAGTTAAATGATCTACTTACGAAGAAAAAATCTTTTTGGTAAACAGCTAGAAAGCTCTGCTGAAATTGAAATAACTGCAAAAACAACTCAAGTTCTGAAGCACTCAGTGCCTTTGCGAACAGAACTCCGCTCTGAAACAAAGACCACATCAGAATTTACCTCAGGTTTGTTTGGAATAATTCAGTTTTTAAAAAATTATTTTCTTAAATAATTTGATAGCATTGTAATTAGTAGCTTGAACTTATTTATGTTTTTTTTTCCTAAATGTTTTATCTTTCTCGTATCTGTTCTTTATATTTCTTTCTAGGTTATGAGGTATTTAGGTACCTGGGATTTTTTAATTGCCACATAGTTCATAATAATACAGATCTTTGTATGTGGGGGTATAGATTAGCACTGACAGTTGGATTGAGTGAAGCATTTAATATGATTTTATAAATGTGAGCTATTTTATCAGGTGGGTGAAAACGTGCCTTTCTAGATTCTTTCAACTTACAGGTATGAGTCATACTTACATAAAGAAATGTCAGCTTCCATTTCTTGTGCTATTTACTTGTCAATCCTTGTGAGTCTTAGTTTCTACCATCCATAGTTTTATTCAGTTTATGAAAAGAGAACTTTCAGCATCAAATAGTTGGAGCAGCACCAATTATAATAGTTATAGCTTTGTTAGTATTCAATACTTGCAATTAATACTCTGTGGAACCAAATAGTGACAATTACACTTTCTAAACAAATACTACCATGGTTTTACTGTGATCAAAAAGATAGTAACAGAGTGTTTAATACCATTTCAATAATGTATTCACATAAACTCACCAGTCACTGGTTTGCATAGTTTTGTCTGTACAATGTAAATGGTACAACCCGTTAAGCTGTCTTATTACAAAGGAAATATGACCAATTCAGAGGTGAGAATTAGGGAATAATAGTAATATCTGCCCATTATTGACCATGTTCTATGGTGCGAAGAGCGGTAAGTTTATCATATTCAATGCTCACCCATGAAGCAAAAGAAAACAAAAAACGCCAGTGTGTTGGTAATCATTCCCATTTTATGATGAAGAGACTGAAATTCAGGAAGTTTAAATAACTTGCCATAAATCATATAGCTTGTGAGTAGTAGAGCTCTGTTTATAGCCTAGATCTTCCTGACACCAAAGTCCAAGCTCTTCATTGTGTGTAGATGCTCTAATTTAAAACCTAATTTCAGCTTCCTTCTCTCTCACTTAATCTTTATAAAAACTGTCATTGAGTAACAAACCTGATTTGAGTTTTACAGTTTTCCTCTGTCACCTCTTCTTTATAATCAAGGAAAGTTATACAGTTTTTAGACTCTCTCTGAATCATCCACAGTTGACCATATTCCCACAAGAATATAATGTATCCATTCATTTTTCTAAATGCCTGTTAATTCCAGAGTATCTTTGTGAAGATGAAACATACTACAGTTTAACAGTGGAACCAGAACCATCCCTAGCTAATGTCTTCTCTTCACACATCTGGATTCTGGAACCCTTTATCTACCTGTCTTTGGTGATGTGGTATATGAAAAGCATTCTAAAGACACATGCAGAGGGAGAGAGATGCCAGTGCTATTCATCCTTATCATATGTTAGTCAGTTTGAGCTGCTATAAAAATAATACCATAGACTGGGTGTTATAAACAACAGAAATTTCTTTCTCACAGTTCTAGAGGCTGAAAGCCTGAGATTAGGGTGCCAGCATGGTCGAGTTCTGGTGAGGGCCTTCTTCTGGCTTGTAGACAGTTGACTTCTCATTGTATCCTCACATGGTAGAGAGCACAAGGAAGCAGCCTTTCTCCGGACCCTTGTAAGGGCACTATACATTCATGAGCGCTCCACTCTCCTTATCTAATCCTAATTACCTCTCGAAGGCCCCACTCCTAATACTGTCATGTTGGGGGGTGGGTTTCAACATATGCTATTTGGGAGGACACAAACATTCAGTCCATAACAATGTATCATTTAGAGTTGGTTATGTAGAATGTCCTTGGGATTCACCATTTCTACATTTCATATGTAATCCTAAAGTTCTGTATGACATGGGAAACAGTAGTGATTGTGAGCACAGGTTTTAGAATAAGACTAGAATCTGAATCCCAGATCCAATATTTGGAGAATTTCAAAGGGATTTGGAATTTATTAAAAAATCAAGTGGATATTCTAGAAGTTAAAATTCAGTACCTGAAATTAAGAACTCATTGAATGAATTTAACAGCAGGCTGTATACTGGAGAGCACAGAATTAATAAACTCAAAGAAAAGTCAATAAAAAGCCATACTGAAGCACACAGGAAAAAGGAATGGAAAGAATAGAAAAAAGTGTGAGAAAGTACTTTGCAATAACTAGTGTGTTTGAATTACTGAGAAGCTGAATATCATCCTGATTTTATACACAAGAAACAAAAATAGGATTTCTAATAATCCTAACTTTACTCAGCAATTTATTACTGATCTGTTCCATCTTTTGTACCTAACTTGATTGAAATGTCAATGAGATAGTGTATGAACTAAATTATCAGTGAACAGATATGACCTAGTGGCTATTTGAGCTAATAATTCATTGCTGTCTTATAACTTTAAACATCTTTATTTCTTCTTTGTTACAATACCACCTTTTCCAAAAGTCTGCCAAAATGCTTTAAGCAGAAAATATGTTTTTATTAGAGATCAAAAATATGATGAAGTACAAAGAAAAGTATCATAATGATTAGGGCATTGAGATTCAAGAAGTTTTATGATAGCTCATCCTTCGGGAGGACAAGAGAGCTCTTGATCAGCTCAAGAGGTGAAGAAATTTCTAAGAGGAAAGATATAATCCTTCATTACTCAGAAAAGCATGAGACGAATATTTTAGAGAAGGGAGAAATCAAATGACCTAACCTAAGTGGCTAGTGGTTCCCAGAGGGCTCCAGATCACAATTACTTGGGGTGTTTTGTTTTGTTTTTTAGAATTCATAGCCCCAGTCTTTACCCAAGAATTATAAATCTGAATCTCCAGAGGTGAGGCCTCCAAGCAGGTGGATTTTAGGAAAATCTCCACAGGGAATTCTGCTTATTTTTTTAGTTAATTATCTCTAACCTAAGCTATGGATAAATTAAAATCTTGAAGCCTTTAATGAATTTTTCAAGGGTGGAGAAGATCTAAAGGCAAAAGAAACTCTCCAATCCAGGAAATTTGGGCAAGCAGAATCTTTGGCTAGTCTTTGGACAAGAATATAAACTAAGGAAGTGGTTAGAAATGCTAGAGAACTTGGTCAATTAGTTGACACTGTTAAGCAAATCTGACACATTAAGACTTACATAAAATAATTATTTGTCACATACCTACTATAGTATGTCTGCTTGATAAATAAAAAAACTATTTCATAGCACGTTTTTCACTTGTACTCAACAGTAGCTTCCACCAGGTGGCAGTAAAAATACATTTGAGAAAATCAGGTGAGAGCAGAACCACTAGCAGGTTTCTTAACCTTTTTTTTGTGCTGCAAACCCGTTCTCAGCATAATATTTTCAAATGCAAAAAATTAAATACATAGTAATATCTGAGCTTTCTTATTTGTATTAAACAACAATATCTAACAACAGGTCTAATAACTACCATAATTTTCAAGAAGTGGTAAGTGTAAATATTTTGAAATAATCTGCAACTGTAATGTGATATGAAAATATCTATGATTTCTACTGGTGACAAAATCTAAGCTACTGCTAATACCATTGTGTTCTGTTGTCTATATTTATTATTGAGGAAATTATGTGTTTTCAATCAGAGGTTAGCAAAACTAAAGACAGATTTCCCCCATCCAAGTTAGTAGATTACATGAGTTCTATCATAGACCCCCAAAGGGACCCCAGGTTAAGAATTTCTACCCTGTGGAGAACCGTATTAGTGTCACTCATAGTGATTACTTATGATTTGTTTTTTAAAATATATTTGGTGATAAAGTTACATATAGGTGTGTCATACTTTATAAAATAGAAAATGTTTCTGAAAAGATAGGTGTTATATAAATCATTGTATTCTCCCCTTTGATTTCATTATAAAACAAAATTAAATTCTATGGGGAGAAAAAAAGGTGTGGCTCCAACATGTAATAAAATCATTTCAAAATGAATCAGAATTTGAAAAACATTTAAAATAAAAGCCAATTTCTGAAAAAATATTTTTTGTGTTATATCACAAAGTTTAAAAAAGTTGTCTCTTGCCTACTTACCACGTACAGCATTACATGTCTGCAGCATTTTGTGCACATTATCATATTTATTCATTTATTTTGTCATATTTAATACTAAAAATAAATGTATGAGATTGTTACTGCTTTAACCCCGATTTTTCAAAAGAGCCAGGGGTGTTGTGTTAGGGTCAGACAAACCTGAATTCAGTCCTGGCTCCACCACTTACCAGCTGAGTGACAGTGGTTTAAGTTACTTAACCTCTCCAAATTAAAATTTCCTTATCTGTAAAAGGAAGATGATATAAAAATAGTACCGACCTCATGGTGGTATTATGAGATAATGCGTGAAAACAGCTCAGCATCTTGCCTGGCACACAGTGAGTTCGTCAAGATCCCCATTGATCCACAATATTGCCAAATCCAAGAGTCAATTCTCAATGTCCATTTTATGCAGTCCATCAGCAACCCTTAATACAGGTTAAACTTCCTCCTCCTTGAAACAGTCTCTTCACTTGGCCTGTGGCATATCATGTGTTCCCGGTTCTCTTACCTCTCTGACTGGCTTTCCTTCTCAGTCTTCTCTGCTACATTTCTTCTAATCTTCCTAACTTTGAAAAAGTTGGAGTTTCCGAAGGGCTCCTTCCTTAGACGTCTTCTCTAACTCTCGATGATTGCATATAGTCCCATAGTTTTAAATGCCATGTGAAGGCTAGAACTGTAAAGTTTTTATTATTTTTATTTTGTCAATATACAATGTAGTTGATTATTATGTCCCATCACCGAAACCTCCCTCCCTCCTCCCTCTCCCACCCAAGTGTGTCCCCTCCATTTGCTTGTTGTAAGAACTTAAAAAAAAAAAATGTGGTTGTTATATCTTCCTCTCCCCCCACCCCCGTTTTGTTGTTGTTGTTGTTGTTGTTGTTGTTGTTGTTGTTGTTGTTGTTGTTGTTGTTGTTGTTGTTGTTGTTGTTGTTGTTGTTGTTGTTGTTGTTGTTGTTGTTGTTGTTGTTGTTGTTGTTGTTGTTGTTGTTGTTGTTGTTGTTGTTGTTGTTGTTGTTGTTGTTGTTGTTGTTGTTGTTGTTGTTGTTGTTGTTGTTGTTGTTGTTGTTGTTGTTGTTGTTGTTGTTGTTTTTTTCTCTGCCTGACTCGTTTCACTTAATATTATTCTTTCAAGGTCCATCCATGTTGTTGCAAATGGCAGTATTGGTTTTTAAACCAACCCAGACCTCTGAACTCTACAGACTCACATTTCTAGCTGCCTACTCAATGTTTGTACTCAGATGTTTAGTAAGCAATACTTTTATTTATTTATTTATTTATTTTGAAATTTGTGTCTTCCAGTTTTACTGAGGTTTTAAAAGCGGTACAATGTTCATCGGCCATTTGTACATTCTCTGTTTTGAATTACCTGCTCATCTCCATTGGTCATTGTCTGATTGGGATTTTGCGTTTGTTTTATTTTTTTTAACTTGAAGTTATTTTATTTTTTTAGAGAAACTGATTATATTTTATTTTATTTCTTCTTTATTTTTCTACTTTCTATATTTAAAAAAAATTAGTCTGTGCTGCTGCCTCTTCCAGAAAGTTTTCCTGAGTTACAGCAGCCCTCAGTGATCTTACTCTTCTCTGTATTGTTTGTTTGTTTGCTTTGTTTTGTTTTTATTGGTTATGAATATTCATGGGGTACAAAGCAAATTGTCACCACTTGTGCCTAAGATGTGATGCCAGATCCATCCTGGCTGCATGCCCATTACCACAAATTGTCATAATACCCCGTGTCCCCCACCCAATTGTCCCCTCAATTATCCCCAACCTCCCTCCCCATCCCCCTATCCCCCACTCCACTTTGTATTCTTAGGATGTTTTCTCCCTCTGCAAATCCAATGCACCACTGTGGTCTTTCTTTCCTTTCTTCTTTATCTCTTAGCTCTGACTTATGAGAGAGCACATATGGTACTTATCTTTCTGTGTTTTGCTTATTTCACTCAACATAAGTTTCTCCAAGCTGATCCATGTTGTTGCAAATGGAAGAATTTCATTTTTTTTTTTTTTATGGCAGAGTAGTATTCCATGGTGTGTACCATGGTGTATATATACCACAGTTTCCTTATCCAATCATCCATCGATGGACATTTAGATTGGTTCCATATCTTGGCTATTGTGAACAGAGCTGCGATGAACATGGGAGTGCAGGTATCCCTTCGACAGGATGATTTCCATTCCTCTGGGTGTATACGCAGAAGTGGGATTGCTGGATCATATGGAAGATCTATCTGTAATTGTTTGAGAAACCTCCACACTGTTTTCCATAGTGGTTATACTAATTTACAGTCCCACCAACAGTATAGGAGCATTCCCTTCTCCACACTCTCGCCAACATTTGTTACTCTCATTCTTTCTGACCAGTGGAGCAGAATAGAGACCCAAGAAATCACCCCTCAGGCTTATAGCCATCTGATATTTGACAAAGGGAATAAAAACATACATTGGGGAAAAGACTGCCTCTTCAATGACTGGTGCTGGGAAACTTGGATATCCATATGTAGAAGAATGAAACTAGATATGCCCCTCTCACCATATGCTAAAATCAATTCAAAATGGATTAAAGACTTAAGTATAAGACCCGAAACTGTAAAATAACTAAGGGAAAATATAGGTGAAACACTTCAGGAAGTAGGTCTGGGCACAGACTTTATGAACATGAGCCTGAAAGCACAAGCAACAAAAGAAAAAATAAACAAATGGGATTGTATCAATCTGAAAATCTTCTGCACAGCAAAGGAAACAATCAAGAGAGTGAAATGACAACCTACAGAGTGGAAGAAAAATTTTGCTAAGTATGCATCAAGACAAGGGATTAATATCCGTAATATAGAAGGAACTCAAGCAATTACACAGTAAAAAAACAAATAACCCAATTAAAAAATGGGCAAAGGAACTGAATAGATATTTTTCAAAGGAGTCAAATGGCCAATAGGTACATGAAAAAATGCTCAACATCACTTGTCATCAGGGAAATGCAGATTTAAGCCACATTGAGATATCACCTCAACCTAGTTATACTGGCTGTAATCAAAAAAATGAGAATAACAAATGCTTGTTTAGTAAGCAATTAAACACATTCAAAACTTAATACTTCAGCTGCTTTTCCCCAAACCTGCTTCTCCCATATTTTTCCATCTCAGTAAATGTCAAGTCCATTTTTCCAGTTTCTTAAGTTAAAGAGTCTTTCTCACACAACATATTCAGTCCGTTTAGGAAATCCTTTCCATTCTACCTTCAAAATCATCCAGAATTTGATCCCTTTTCACCATCTCCACTGCTACCGCCCTAATTAAAGCCTTCAGCATCTCTCCTGGAGTACTGCAATTGTTTCTTAACTGGTCTCCCTGCTTCCACCCTTTCTCTCCTATAACCTCTTCTTCCCATAACCAAGAATGATCTTTTTAAAAATATAACTTTATGTCACTCACCTAGTTAAAACTGTCCAGTAGCTTCCCATTTCACTTAAAATAAAAGCCAAAATTCTTAACCATGGCCTTAGGTGACTAGCCTTCCACTGTCAAATCTGCTCATGTCTCCTATCACACTTTCACTGTCTTCCCCTATATCTTGTCTACTCTGTTCCAGCCTTGTTGGTTCCTCAGACGTGCCTTAGCTCCATTATGCTTGCCGTCTGCTCCTCCTTCAAGGCATTGCCCTCAGATATATACAGGGTGCATATCCTCACCTCCTTCAGTTATTTGCTCAAACATTACCTTTCCAGAAAGCTTTCCCTGGCTGCCCTATTTAAAACTGCAAATCACCCAAACACTCCATATGGCTTTCCCTGCTTTATTTTTCTGCATAGCACTTACTACCATCTGATATATATTTTATTTAATTTATTGTCTTTCTCATCAATTCAAATGTTAGGTCCTTATTGACAGAGATTTTTATATTTTGTTCACTGTTGTATTCCCAGTACCAAAAATAAATTTGTTAAATGACTAATTTTTTTTGTTTGTTTTAATACTTTATCAGGTGCTACACAGTTTATGCCTGACCCCAAGCTCATGGATCATGGGCAGTCCCATCCAGAAGACATAGATATGTACAGCACTAGAAGCTGAAATAGACTGCATAAAGAACCACAAGATGTGTGAAGCTGCAAATAATGCTGAAAAAAATCATGTAATGGGTAACTGATACGTAGAGTATAACTTGAATCGTTTTTCCCTTATATTTTCAGATGTAGTTTGACCAATTACGTAAGTGATTAAAACACAAACTGAATGCAATCCAAACAATATTAAATGATCGAAGAGGAGACACAGGTAGAAGTATTAGGATGCATTTGATGACTTTTAAGGGCATTTATTTAGAAACAAAACAGATGATGATATGAATACCAGTGACACTGAAATCTGAAAATATGTACATGTGTATAGATATATACACACATATTTTTACATATATATCTTCTCTAGTTTTTGCAGATTAATGTCAGTTAAATTAGAATGGTGTGTGGAAGGATGTTCCCCCCGTTTTTGTTTGTTTGTTTTGTTTTGTTTGTTTCTCAGAGCTGGAATAAAATATCCATATTTTATGGCACTTTGGCTTGGCTTTGTCTCTTTGCTTTATTAATGTTAACTCCTTCTAAATGGAACATCTCTAACTGTTTAAGAGGACCATATGCTACACGGGCCCCCTAATGCTGCTTAGCAATCATTCTGGTTCCTAGGTGGTTTACTATTCTGTTCCCCAGAAGAGGTATTACAAACCTTTTATTCTCCTCAGGCTGCTTATACCTGCCAGAGTTGACTGTGCCTCCTATTTCGTAGAGAAAAAAAGTAAATTAGATACGACCATTCCCAACTTCTTCCAATCTGCCTTCAAGGCTTCTTTTCAGCCATGCATCCCCCTTTTCTAAGGCTAATTCTTCTATTTGTGTTTCTGATCTCATTCCTTCCTATCTTTCCCAGGACCATATTTCGTCCTGTTTAATTTTCAGTCCTTGGTTTCTCTTTTCACACATTTCTTTTCCTCAACCTCTAAATAGCTTCAGGCCTTTGGTATCTGAAAGCACAATTACAAAAACAAGAAAAAAACATTCCTTAACTCTGCCTCTTCCCTTGAGCTGCTTTTCTCTCTCCTTCTTTAAAAAGTAATGTCCCTTTCTTACTTCCTCACTTTCAATTCTTCTTTGTCTTGCAACATCCTAGCCTCTATACCTACTTGAATTTTTATGTAATTATTGACTCTTCGCCACTCCCTCCTTGAAACTCACTCCTCCCTTTACTTTCTGTTATTCCTGTTTCTCTTGTTCTTCTTCTTTCTTCTTCTCTTGCACTGAATCCCTTAAATGCTGAGGCTCTTCAGGTTGCATCTCTAGTCCTCTTTTCTCATTCTATACGCTCTCTCATTTTTATTCAACAGACTTCACTGGCTTCAGCCACTATTTATATGTCATTATTATTCATATTTTCAGCCCCATATTTCTCGAGTGCTGTAAAACTATGTTTCTATTTATTTACTAGACCTATATTTCTAGTTATTTCTCTAGTGCTATAGACCTGTTTTCTAAGTATTATCCACCTGATGTCCCGTAGATAATCCCAATGTCAATATGCCTAAAATTAGATTGTCTCTACCTTCCTCTCCTTATATCTTGTTTCTCAATCTGCTCTACCTTCTCTAATCCTGTCATTGCTCTTGTTCTTCATCATCATTTTCTTGGGTTATTGTAGTAGCCTCCTGGCTAATCTGCTTGCCAACAGTCTTGCTGTCTCTCACTTCAGAATGTGTTCTGCTTGCAAGTAATAGTAAACCAGTTAACAGGAGCTTAAGCAAATAGGGATCTATTTAAAGCCTGGAATTAGGTAGTACAGGGTTGGGACGGTGGCTCATTGATACCATCAAGGACCTAGACTTTTCACTTTCCACTCTGCTCTCTGTAGCGTAGTGGTTTGTCACCTCATGGTCACAAGATGGCTGCTGTACTTCCAGGGAACACATACACATTCAAAGTAGGAAGCAGTGGGGCAACATGTGCACGAGATGCTTCTGACCCCCTTTTATCCGAAGAGTAAATGCTTTTTTAGACTCTCCTCAGAAGACCTCTGTGGATATCTCAACCGGAACTTTGTCACAGAGTTACACACTTTGCTCAAGGAAATTATGTGTTTTTTTTTTTTTTTTTTTTTCTCCCCTGTGGTGAGGAAGACAGGTGGGTAAGGAGTTGGGAATGGGTGTCTACCACCCTATTCTTCTAATCCATCTTTCATATTATTATGACATAGTTGTCTTTCTGACAACTAGTATGAATAGTTGTCTTTCTGAAATCTTCAATGGCTCATCATAACCTACAGAATCAAATCAAAACTCCTTAGTATGACAGATAGGGCCCTTCATATCTGATCCCAGCTTACCTTCCAATCCCATCTTCCATCTCCCCGCCTGCCCTACTGTCAATGTATGTTATGTTGTATATGACATACCACTTGTTTTTTGAACATGCTTTGCTCTTTATGCCTCTTTTTCTCTGCCTGTGCTAGTGTCTGCTTTTAGAATACTCTCAGGTCTCACCCTGTTCCACATTCTTTCTCCCTGTTCTTCAAATCCAGTTCCAATGTCACCTTTCTCAATTCTCCAAGGTAGAATTTAGATGTTCTCTATATTCCCTTGCACTTGGTATTTATAGATATGATAACCCACACAATTTATTATAATTAGTATTTTCTCACAGACAAGTTCTTTGCGGGTATGGCTGAATCATGTTTGTGTAGCTTCTATGCCCATAAAATTCCTGATAACCAGTAGGAACTCATAGTCTGCCATGCTGGTTGCAGCACAGGATATCAAAAATAATTATAATTCTATACTAGGGAGGAGAGAACCATCTACAAATACATTGTTGTATGCGGTATCTGTCCTTACATAAGTACAACCAAACAGCTGTAGATATTCAAAGTTGGAGTGTAGTTCTGGAGCAGTGTCAAGGAGGCAGTGGTACTTAAGCTGTTCAAGGTGGGGAAGCAATTCACTTGTTAGTTTTCCACAAGTAAGGTCTTCAGAATTTAGCTTCAGTACTTAAAATGAATTTTTTTAAAGCCTCAGATCTGTTTACATTCAAACACACTCATATTTTATCAAATGTAAGACACATCATATATGTTTAAGAAAAAAAAAATGCTCCCAGTTGATCATTGTACTTAACTTCAAATATGTTAAAATGTGAAAAAAAAGAATTTTAAATTTAATGAAATATGGTAGATAAAATATAAATAGCCCAAAGCCAAGTATAAGTGATTTTTGAATTATCTGCTCTTTTGGATTATCAGCACTGCTACTAGCCATTAGTATATTAGTTTGGATAATGGAGAGTTGACTGGATCCGCAAAATCTGTTTCAAAGTAAAAGATCTCAAACAAGAATGTTATGATCACTTGCTGTATTGTTCAGCATTCAAAGTCAAACTACTGTTGGACTCAGGTGACATTCAAATGGAGCCTATGTTGGGATGAGTTGTTACAAGCCTCTTTCATTCTTCGCCTGCCATGTCCATGAGTTCTTTTCTGTTAAACCTAAATAGATGCCAACCCTCCTCAGAGGAAAGGTCTAAAGCCCCACGACGAGTGTAGTAGTCAATAGAAACCTGGTTCCAAACGACAACAAGAAAGTGCATGCAGTTACATTGGCTTCTGATGGCTATCTGTTTAAAAACAAGCAAAGATTACTTTTATTTGAAAGTGTAGTCTTCATTAACACATTTATTGAAGATTTACTATGTGTGCGTTGTATTTCCAAATAATAATACAATGGTTGTCTTTTGGACTTCTCTATAGCTGTAAAAAGAAAAAAGTCCCAACTCTTATGAGCTCTAAAACACCTCTCTTTAAAAGTCCAAAACTGATTGGCAAAGTCTTTATTCTACAGAAAAAGCTTACCTAAAAGAACACATTAACTTATACTATATTTCCAAATACAAAAGGATCTTGCTTTTATACTATTCTCATATTTATACTGTGGTACTGTTGTATGGGTAAAAGTGCTTTCTAATCTCTCTCATGGTTACATATGCTTGATAACAAAAAAGATGTATAGTGTGGTTTTGGATTATATATAAATCAATTTTTAATTAAGTATAACTCATAAAACCTATATGATTGATTTGCAAATCCAGTTTAATTTGGATAAAAATTTGAAGTATATTTTGGAGTTATGTTCAAATGGTAAGATTAATTATCTAATTTATGCCCTGTTAAATAACATTTGATGAACAAAAGGATAAAGTTAAAGTATAGAATGTTAGTACTAATTGTAATACATACCTGACTTAGCCTTTTCAGCATTTCAGCTCCAATACCTAGACCTTTTAAATAGATAATGCAAAATGAAAACTGTAAGTTGAAAAGTTCCACTTAACTATTTATTTGCTTTAGTTTAAAAGAAATAAAATATAAAACACTGTATTTGGTTATTATACATTCTAATAGCTTGTGTTGAAACACAACTCATGAATGTTTTTCATGTCTCTTTTTCCTAATTGGAATGTGATACCAAGGGTAATAGAAAATAGTTTGGGTTCATATCAAAAATCAATGAAAAAGAAATGAGTTTCTCTCACTATTGTCTTATAACAGGGTATATTTTTTATCTGTTTCTACTCAAAGCCAACCTAAAATGTAAAAGCACTTTTTTAAAGATAAAAATATAGCTATGATAGCTTGGCATATTTATACCTTGATGGGAACTAGTAAGAAAATGGTTTTTTTAATCTGGAATTGAGTCTTCACCACATTCAAGGATTACTAGGATAGTGACCCACTCATGAAACAGAAATGAGTTACATAAACTAACTTAAACACCATATTTATAAGCCCTATCTATACCCCTTAAATTAAAATATGCCACTTGTATTTTCAAAGTATTTTGAAGTACTTTTTAGTTTATTTGTAGTTTTACCTCTGTAAGCTTGTATGACATAAAAGTCCTCCAGGTAAAGTAACTTGCCAATCCAGGGATCATATGTAAAGTAGTACATGGCAAATCCAGCGGTCACTTTGCCTAGGAAGAAGGAAAAGAGGATACGAAGAGGTTAATGCTTTGAATCTTAGAAAGTTTTTCCTCCAAAATTGAATATCTTTGGTGTTCGTGTGTTTACGTATTATAGTAATAAATGCTCACTGGACAAAATAACAATATAGAAATGTGTATATAGGTTTAAATCTCTTATACTACAACCTTTAAGAGATAAGCCATCTTTTTACAGTGTGGCATATGTTCTTCCAAAAAAATTTTAATGCATATACAAATATAAGCACATACAACACATTTTTATAAAGCAAAACTGAGTTTACAGACATATACTCTCCTCTGCTTAATAGTAATTATATGCAATGTAACTGTACTTTGTTTTCAGGATAGAGAAAATATACTCAAGATTAATTGGAGAAGAAAGATTCACTTTACCTGATGGTTTTTGTTGATTGTGTACTTCTGCAATCAGGCAGTAGAAAAGAGGATTGTCCCCAAAGCCATCCCTGAGTAAATCTGAAATATCAATTCACATACAATGTGTCAGAAAATTTTCAGCAGAAAGGGGAAGATAGCAGAGTAGAAAGCACCAGGAATTCATCTCTTCTCCTGGACATCAATTATACTGGTAGGAACTGTCTAAAGTGAATATTTTGGAACTGTGGAGTTTATTTGAATACTTGCAATTTCCAGGAGACAGACAATTTTCCTGGCTGGAAAATTGCAGTTAATTTAGGTCAAATTCAGTGCAGTGGTGGCTACCCAGCCTTCATCCCCCCAGTCTTGTGGCAGGCAGCTGTAGGAACAGCAACCTGTATTTTTGGAACAATTTGCTGGAACCAGGGTGGGCAATAAAGAGTGTTTACTCAAAATATCAGAGTCCTGTGTTCTGTGTACTGTTGCTCTGATTGCTGAGGTGAGGGTTGAATGTTGGCCGCCATTGTTTCAACCCACACCAGCTGAAGTGGCTTCCAGGAGATTTAAAGGAGCTATCCCTGTTTTATTGAACATTTGGAAAATAAAAATAAAAACATGCAGGGGAATTTAGAAAGCTGTTGTGCATGACCAGGGAAAGGTACAGGCTCAGAATAGACTGGACAACACATTAAGCTTTCATCTCAGGTTCATCCCTAACACAGAGATACCTACAACCATAAAAAAAAAAAAAAAAAATCAGAAAATCCTTGGGAAGGGGGAGAATCTGATTTCCAGAGTTACCAAATCATAAGATTCAAATATCCAGTTTTCAACAACAAAATCACAAAGAAACAAACGATGACCCATTCAAAGGAAAAAAAAAAAAAAACAAACAGAAAACATACCTAAGGAAACCCGCATTCTTTCTCCCTGTTCTTCAAATCCAGTTCCAATGTCACCAGATGTTAGACTTACTAGACAAAGAGTTTAAAGCAACTATCTTAAAGATGTTCAAAGAGCTAAAGGAAGACATGCACAAATATAGGAAAAAGACGTGTGAACAAAATGATAACATAAATGAAAAGAGAAATTATAAAAAAGAAACTTTCCCCAAAATTCTGAAGATGAAAAATACAATAACTGAAATGAAAAATGCACTGGAGGGGTTCAAAAGCAGATTTCAGCAAGCAGAAGAAAGAATCTGTGGACTGAAAGATAGGACAAGTGAAATTATTGAGTCTGAAAAACAGAAAAAAGATGAAGTGAACTAAGTCATCTGTGGAACACCATCATCATCAAGCAGTGCAACTTACACATTTTTGGGACTCCCAGAAGGAGAAGAGGGAAAGAAAGAGGAGGAAAGAATATTTGAAAAAATAAAAGCTGAAAACTTCTCAAATTTTATGCAAGACATGAATCAATAATTCCAGAAGCTCAATAAACTGGAAGTAGGATAAACCCAAAGAAATCCACACCAAGATGCACTGTAATCAAAATGTCCAAAGCCAAAGACAGAGAATCTTAAAGTAGCAAAAGGGAAGCAACTTGTCTCATATAGAGGGATCCAATTAGATTATCACCCAGTTTCTCATCAAAAATCTTGAAGGCCAAAAAGCAGTGGATTGATATTTTTAAAGTGCTGGGGATAAAATAAGTATCAAGAATTTTGTATCCACCAAAACTGTCTTTCGAAAATGAGGGAGAAGTTAAGGCATTCCTATACTGTCCCCACTCAAAAAAAAGGCAAAAATTAATTACTACTAAACTTGCCAAAATGAAGCTAGCCAATAACTTGAAGCTGTATGAAGAAATATTTATGGTAAACATAAATACATGGGAAATTTTAAGAGGTAGTACTGTAATTTTGTTTGTAACTCCAGTTTTTATTTTCTACATTGTTTAAAATACAAATGCATAAAAATAATTATTAATGTAAGTTACTTGGCACATAACTGTAATCTGTTATCAGTAACAGAAAGGGAGGAGAGAAATGTATGGAAGAAGAGTTTTTCTATCAAAGTTAAGTTGGTTTAAATTCAAACTAGATTGTTATAACTGTCAAATATTACCCCCTAGGTAACCACAAAGAAAATATCTATAGAATATACACATAAGGAAGTGAGAAGAGAATGAAAATATTTCACTACAAAAATCAAGAAAACATGAAAGAAGGTAGAAATGGAGGAAATGGGGGACAAGAAAAAGCTATAAGACATTTAGAAAATAAAAATGGCATGGGTTAGTACCTCCTTATCAGTAATTACATTAAATGTAAGTGGATTAAACACTCCAATCAAAACACAGAGATTAGCAGAATGGATTTCTTAAAAATGACCCAACTATATGCTGTCTACAGGTGACACACTTTGGATCCAAAGGCACACATAGGTTAAAGATGAATTGATGGGAAAAAACATTTCATGCCTTACTAATAGTAAAAGAGTAGTAATAAAGAGTAAATAGTAAAATAGTAACCAAAAAAGAGCTGGGGTGGCTATACTAATGTTAGACAAAATAGGCTTTAGGAAAAAACTTTTCTAAAAGACAAAGTAGGACATTATGTAATGATAAAAGTGGCGATTCATCAAGATATAGTATTTATAAACATATGCAGTGAATATCACAGCTTCAAAATATAAGAAGCAAATATTAACAGATCTAAAGGGGGAAGTACACAGTAATATGATAATGGTAGGAGACTTCAATACTCTATTTTAAATAATGTATAGAACAACCAGAGAGACCTAACCAACATATAGAACACTCTACCTGACAACAACAGAATACTCATTTTTCTCAAATGCACATGGAACTTTCTTCAGGATAAACTATATGTTAAGTCACAAACCAAGTTTTAATAAATTTTAAAAGACTAAAATTGTGCACAGTAACCTTTCCAATCACAACAGAATAAAACTAGAAATCAACAGGACAAATAGGTGGAAATTAAACAACACCCTCATAAACAATAAGTGAGTCAAAGAAGAAACCACAAGGGAAATGTGAATATACTTAGAGATGAATGAAAATGAAAATACAATAAACAAAAGTGTATGGGACACAATGAAAGCAATGCTCAGAGGGAAATTTATAGCTGTAAATGCCTACATAAAAAAACCCTCAAATAATATTCTTAACTTTATGCCTTCGGGAACTAAAAAAAAGAAGTGCAAACTAAGCTCAAAGTTTGCAGAAGGAAAGTAATAACAAAAATTAGAGCAGAGATAAAATAGAAAGTAGAGAAACACGGAGAAAAATCAATAAATCCAATAGTTGGTTATTTGAAAAGATCAACAAAATTGATAGCTAGGCTGACAAAGAAAAAAAGAATATGTAAATAATTAAAATCAGAAATGAAAGTGGGGGCATTACTACCAGCCTTGTAGCAGTTAAAAAGGATTATTAGAAAATACTATGAATTATATACAAAAATATAGATCACCTAGAAGAAATGGACATAGTCCTTGAAACATACAAATTACCTAAAACTACTCAGGAAGAAATAGAAAATCTCAACAAACCTATAAGAGTTTGAATCAGTAATCAAACATCTCCCAATAAAGAAAAGTAAGGAACCAAATGGCCCCACCAGTGAATTCTACCAAACATTTACAGAAGAATTAACACCAAAATTTTTCAAACTCTTCCAAAAAAATTGAAAAGGAGGGAATACTTCCTAACTTATCATGTGAAGCCAGAATTACTCTGATACCAAAGACAGTAAAAGACATGAGAAGGAAAGAAAATTACAGATCAATATTCCTTGTTAATATATATGCAAAAAGACTCAACAAAATATTAGCAAATTGAACCCAATAGCATATTAAAAGAATTATTCACTATGACCAAGTGTTATTTATCCTAGGAATGTAATGGTGGTTCATCACAAGAAAATCAGTGTAATACATCACATAAAAGAACAGAGGGGGAAAGCACCACATGGTCATCTCAGTCGATGCAGAAAAGTTCTCTCACAAAGATGCAACACTCTTTCATGATAAAAGCTTTCATAAAACTAGGAATACAGGGAAATTCTTCAACATGCTACAGTATACATAGGAAAAAATCCACATCATACTCAATGGTGAATGACTGGAAACATTTCTGTCTAAGATCTGGAACAAGACAAAGATGCCCACCTTCACAACTACTATTTAACATTGTACTGGACGTTATAGCCAGGGCTATTACAAAATAAAAAGAAATAAAAGCCATCCAGATTAGAAAGGAAGAGGTAAAACTATTTGCAGATGACATGATACTATATATTAAAAGTCCCAAAGAGTCCAAAAGAAAGCTACTAGAGCCAATAAGTGAATTCACCAAAGTTGCAGGGTACAAGATCAATGAAGAAAAATTGGTTGTGTTTCTATACACCAGCAATGAACAAATCAAAAACTAAATTAGTAAAACAGTTCTATTTACAGTAGCCCCTAAAAGAATTAAACCCTAGGAATAAATCTAATCAAGGAGGTAAAAAGTACTGCTTTCACAGAGTGTCCATTACTTTCAACTTTGTATTTCTTACTATATCTTTTAGACCAACAAAATTACTACTTAGTTAACATTTTGGTGGTGTTAATTATCAAGTGTAAGAACATATGAGTCATCACATGAGATGACTGATCCATGACCCATGCAGTACAGGGTTCTATTTCTGACCCAGGCACTAAGATTGATTTGTTAGCGCATGGCACAAAAGACCCCACAAAACATCCTGACTTCCTTCTGCATCTGTCACCCACCCAGCCTTATAGTAAAACCATTTATGTCCTTGGTAGAGTGTTCTCAGTTTATGACATGCATTCTGAAGTATTCAACTTCAAGGAGTTATCCTTCATCATAGTCTTCTAGCCTCTGACATATGTAATTTTATACACTTTAATCATCTCTTTTCTTGTTCTTCATATTTGCTGCCTAAAAAATTCTAATTCATCATAAATCACTAACCTATCCCATTGATATTGCTGGTTATCAAAATGTAGTCAATATTTTGAGAATATTTTAAATCATTTTGCTTTTATCCATTTCATCCTTTCAAGCTACTACCAACATACTGGGTGTTACACTTTTTTGACCAATAACATTTCTCATTCTACATTTTGAGAACCATTAAAATCTATTGAAGCTGTAAAGGTATAGGAGCTGTTAAATATTAATTTCTTACTAAAAAATGGGGAAAATATAAAACAGCGGAGCACTGACAAAGCTATCAAATTTATATCCTATATATGTAGATACTATTAATAGCATTATCTTTATGTACCAAGAACAGCAGCTTCCATATTCCCATGTACAAGTAGTACTGTATGCGTACATTCATGTTTTCTTCATTGTTCTGAAAATATCACAAAACATCTTACCTGTTGCTGTTAACTTCACAGCATCTAGCATGTTTTCACAAGCAGCCAATTCCTGTCAAAGTAGAGAAAACTTTCAGTTTATGACTTAGTAATGAATTCTTAAAATGATAATAATCATGAAGTTTTTATTGAACATTTATTGACATATGATATCCTGGGCAGTGTTAAAAGTGAGTCAGACATCAGACTTAATCCCAGTTGTCTAGAAACTTAAAATATAAAATAGCAATGCAACAAAACATGCATATGTATGTATGTATAGAGAGTGCATAGCTTAAATTCTGTGTTTCTCTGTTGATTTGTTGCGTAGGTGACCTGTCCAATGCTGAGAGAGAGGTGTTCAGGTACTGAACTATTATTGTATTGGGGCCTAGCTCTTTCTTTAGGTCTAATAGTGTTTGCCTTATATATCTGGTGCTCTGGTGTGGACTGCATATATATTTATGATTGTTATGCCTTCTTGCTGGATAGATCCCTTTATCATTATATAATGGCCTTCTTTGTCTCCTTTTAGGCATTGCAGTACCTGACTTCAAATTATACTATACAAAGCTATAGTAACCAAAGCAACATGGTACTGACATAAAAACAGACATTCAGACCAGTGGAACAGGATAGAGAACCCAGAAATCAATGCACAAACCTACAGCCAACTCATCTTTTACAAAGGCAACAAGAACATACATTGGGGAAAAGACAGCTTCAATAAATGGTGCTGGGAAAAGTGAACATCCATATGTAGAAGAATGAAACTAGACCCATATCTCTCACCATATAACAAAATCAACTCAAGATGGATTAAAGACTTTAAAGTAACACCAAAACTATAAAACTCCTAAAAGAAAACATAGCAGAAACACTTCAGGAAGTAGGATTGGGCAAAGACTTTAAGAATAAGACCCCAAAAGCACAGGCAACAAAGGAAAAAATAAATGGATTATATCAAACTGAAAAGCTTCTGTACAGCAAAAGAAACAACAGAGCAAAAATACAACCTAAAGAATAGGAGAAAATGTTTGCAAACTAAGCATCCAACAAGGGATTAAAATTCAGAATGTAAAAGGAACTCAAACAACTTAACAATTAAAAAAAAGAAGTAAAACTTTAAAAAAAACTTACAAAAAAAAGTTTTACTAAAAAGTTTTTTTTTTTTTAAAAAAAAAAGGTAAAAAAAAAAAAGTAAAAACGGGCAAACTAGCTGAATAAGCATTTCTCAAGGGAAGATGTACAAATGGCCAACAGACACACGAAAAAATGCTTAATATCAGTAAGCAGCAGGGAAATGCGAATTAAAACCACACTGAGATATCTTCTCACCCCAGTTAGACTGGCTATTATAAAAATAACAGAGAATAACAAATGCTGGTGAGGATGTGGTGAAAGGGGAGCCCTCCTATGCTTTTGGTGGGACTGTAAATTCGTGCAGCTGTTATGGAATACAGTACGGAGTTTCCTCAAGCAACTACAGATAGAACTGCCATACGATCCAGTAATCCCACTACTGGGTATATACCCAAAGGAATGGAAGTCATCATGTCGAAGGGATACCTGCACTCCCATGTTTGTTGCAGCTCTATTTACAGTAGCCAAGAGCTAGAACCAACCTAAATGTCCATTGACAGATGACTGAATAAGGAAAATGTGGTATATATACACAATGGAATACTACTCTGCCATAAAAAAAAAAAAAAAAGAAATTCTCCCACTAGCACCAACATGGATGAACCTAGAGAAAATTATGTTAAGTGAAATAAGCCAGGCACAGAAAGAGAAATACCACATGTCCTCACTCATAAGTGGGAGCAAAAAAAAAAAAAAAAAAAAAAGAAATTCTCCCACTAGCACCAACATGGATGAACCTAGAGCAAATTATGTTAAGTGAAATAAGCCAGGCACAGAAAGAGAAATACCACATGTCCTCACTCATAAGTGGGAGCAAAAAAAAAAAAAAAAAAAAAGAAAAAAGGAAGGAAGGAAGGTTTCTAACCTTTAATACACCCAGAAACTAGGAAATGATGTGGGAACTTATGGGAATGTAATAGAATAGAAGCCATGGAGGGATAGGTCTCAGTTCTTACAGATCTGCAGCCGGGCCTAGCATCACTTCGGTAGATGGACTTCACTGGAAAATTCTGAGTATTTTATTTTGGCCACTAAAACACATTCTGCAATCAAAGGGAACACAAACTTGGCCTGGTTTAGATAAGATTTAGATATGTTAGTGAGTAGATGGTCACATTTTCATTACAGAGTTCCTTTATAAGGTTTCCATATCTATAATCTGTGCCTTCCTTGTTCTAGCCACATATTTACTCCATGAAGAATCTGGGCTACTGCTTTTATATGGGTCTTTACATGGAATTGTTTAGATTGTGCGTCACATAAATGATTGCCTTCAGTGCCTCAGAACTTCAATACAGTAAGTATGGCTATTAGATTGCCCCCAATACTCAACTGGAATGATTTCCAGCAAAGACATTAAAATAGACATTGAAACGAAAAATTTTTAACCCAGCTCCTTGGACACCTAGAGATTGTCTGTGGGATCAATGAACTGTCTGAAATTGTATAGAAAATTTGTTTTTTGTGAATATTGTTTTCCGGGCAATCATCAGATTCTACAAGTAGGTGTGTTCTTAGAAGCAACAAGATTTCTTACCCCCAAATCATAGCCATTAACACCTGAAATTCTATCATTGGCAAGTCATTCATTTGAGTTAAGCATTCCTTTTGTTTCTTTTAAAATTAAAATTTCCCCAGGAGGGAACACCTTCAGTCCCTAAATTTTTCATGAATTGGTTCCCCCATGACTTTTTGAGCCCCTTACTATATGCCAAGCAATTTACGTGTAATAGTTTTATGTTACTGAATCATCACAACAACCTTTTGAGATAGATAGTACTATAATCTTGATTTTTGGATGTAGAAAATGAAGATTAGAGAGGTTAAGTAATTTCCAGAAGGTTATATACACAGGTCAGAATTAGTAGAGCCCGGATTCAAACCTAGTCTATGCTTCCCTTACTCTCTTTAAGCCCTGCACTAATGCCATGAAGCTCCACGGAATAAGGAGAGACAGGCTTACTTTAATCAGGCGCAGAATTTCTGGGCAGTCTTGAGCCTCCGCAGGTCTTATTCGGAAAGAATTCATGCTTGGTTGCCTTGTGCCTGATTGGCCCCTTCCTGGTTGGCTTACACCTGATTGGCTCAACCTTGATTGACTTGGGTCTGGATGACTTCTGCCTAAGTGGCTCCTGCTTGGTTGGCTCCAGCCTGATTGACTCATGCCTGATTGCCATATGCTTGGTTGGTTCAGAACTACTTGGCTTACGCCTGGTTGGCTCATGCCTGGTTGGCTCATGCTTGGTTGGTTCATGCCCAGTTGATTCATGCCTGGTTGGCTGAGGATGGGTTGGCTGAGGACTGATTGGCAGATGATAGGTTGGCAGATGACTGGTTGGCTTAGTGGCTAAGTTTCTTGATAGAACAGGATCCCTTAACTATAGTGCTGTGGTAGGAGGCTGTCGGCTGTTTTCAGTTTTTCTCAACTTGATTAGCTCTTCGAGACACCCCTCTGTCAAGGTGGGAACTGGAAAAAGAAAGGACTACCTAAGGAAGGTTAGGATGTCTCCGATTTGCTAGAGTTGACTTCACCAGCAATCACAGCTGTAAGCTTGGCAGCTGGGTTTCAGGTTGTCGTCTGGCCTTTCCCTGCCAACAGGCCAGAAGTAAAGGGAAGAAGAAAATGACTCTGGGGGAGCATTACTACCTTATACCCCCCTTGCACAGTCACTGTGTCATTGTGCCGAAGTCACAATGCTGTTATCTACGCGCTTACGTGCTCCCTCATGAGTGAGGGAGGGGCGGAGCAGGGCCCCCTTGAGCACCACTTTATTTTCTCCTCTTTAAGAACTTGAGAGTGAATCAAGAGGCTGGAAAGAGTCTCAGACCTTATGCTGGGCACTCCTCCTAAGAGTGCCTGCTGTTTTAAACAACCAATTCAAAGACACTTGCCCAGTCCCTCCCCCATTTCCTCACATCCCAGTCCTCAAATAATTCACTTCCTGTTTTCTGTCCCGATTTTCACTTGCACTAGCAACTGCAGTACTTAAAAGAGTTGTCCCGATGGGGTACTCAAGTCCCGAATGCAGAAAATATTTCTTTAAAAATAATTAACAGCAACTACAGCTATCATTTATTGAGTTCTTTTATGACGTAGGCTCAGCGGGAAGCACTTACATTTTCCCATTCAATTCCATAGCAGCCCCATTACCCCCAATTCTGAGGAAACTGACTCAAAATATTTGGTAACCTGCCCAAGACCTCATAACAGTTGGCAGGGAGCCTACATTTTGACCCAGGTATATTCAACTCCCTTTCCAGGCTTTTTACCATCACATTGTCCTGCCTTTAAACACATTCTACTCATTCTCCACCCCCACATCTGTTAGGTCAGGCATTTTGTCCTTTCACCTCCTTAACCCCCTCAGAATTCCTTCTCCCATCATTTTATCTGCTGGCTCATTTCCTCAACTATATATTGTGTAACTAGTGCTAATTTTGTTTTAGATGGAGTGTCTTTTACTGTTTAAATATACCCGAGAACCTTGGTTGAGGCTGTATCACACTGCGATAAAGGCTTTACATATGCATTATCTCATTTAATCATCAAAGCAATGCTGTGAGGTATGTACTGTTGTTCCTCATTTTATTAATAAACTGGAATTTAGAAAGATTTACTAATTTTCCAAAGTCTAGTAAGTGGTAGAATCGGGACAAGGTCCAAGGCTCATTCCATAGATGGAAGGGTTCAAATAAAACTAGAGAGCTCAGTCACCTAAGCATATGCTGTACCTAGAGAGCCCATCTTTTTGGCATGACAGGCAAATCAAGTCACATTGTAGAACTATGCCAAGCCTAATACAAATTAGATGTAGGCACATTGCCGATCTTGATTTACCTTGTAATAGAAATGGAGCTAAAATTTTATGTTCGCTTCCAGCGGTGTCAGGCACAGTTCTAAGGAGCGCGTTACTTGTATTAACTCACTTAATTCTCACAACAGTCCAATGAAGTAGGTGATATCATTATTCCCATTTCGCGTTAAAGAAACTAAAATTCAAAGAGGATAAGTAATTTGACTAAGGTCACACAGCTGAAAGTCCAGAAAAAATAAAGGAAAACCTAGTTATTTTGCTTTTTCTGAAATGCCAGGAAAGAGGTGAAGTAATTTTGCTGTTTGCTTTACACAATCAAACAATTGGCATAATTTATTATGGGGATGGATGACTTTTGCTTTTTGCTTTGTTAGAGGAGGAGGCAGTTAGGTTTCTGGTTGATGCCTTTAAGGGGTAAAATTATAAAATGCAGTTTAGTGATTTAGAACTGATTGAGTTTCTTTGCATTTTGAGTCATGGACCTTTACATCAGTTGAAGATCATGTAGATTTTTTTTTTTTTCTTTTTAAGGAATATTGGGTTTGAACATTATGCAATTGTGTTTTTAAGGGAAAGAAAAAATATATATTCTTGCTTAAAGTCACTTATCAGTGCAACTTGTTCCATCTTGGAAACTCAGAATGAGATTGCCTCCACTGAGGCAAAAATAGACCATCAGGGAAAAAATAGTTTTTAGAATATTTATACAACAGCTTCAATAGTCAATCTTTGCCACAAGGTGGCAGTGTATCCAGTTTAGGAACCGAAAGTCTAAGTGATAAATACTATAAGCTTGTTTATATTTCATGAAAAAGTGTGCATATTATTCAAATTTGAGGTTTTCTTCCTGTCCATATATTATCAGAAAATTTATAAAAATCTATTTTTAGTCTTAACATACTATTTTATTAAATAGTCTAAGTAGTGAGTTTTGTAAGGCAAGACCTGCCAAATTCTATTTCTAAAAGTTCAAAATGTATATGCATTCATTGCCCGCTCTACCAAAATGTTTTTAATTAATACAACATTTAAAGCCACCCCCCAAAATCTAAAAATATGGATATGTTTATGCATTTAAACTCTAATGACTGAATACATAAAATCCCCTTTTCTGAAGAGATTAAGTAAAATCCAATATTCTGAATTCTGACTCCAGCTTGGCTTATCCAAATGATTACTCACAATTAAGAACGACATTTGTATAGTTTCATCTATAGCAAGCAGAGTTGAAATTTGTGGGAATCTCCTTATATCTCAGAGCATAATTCACAGCCTTTTATTTTTACTCCTGTGTCATGCAAACAGGAAGGAAGAAAGGTAGGAAGGGAGGGAAGGTGGGAGAGAGGGAGAAGGTAGGGTTGAGGGGAAGGGGCTTAAGGCAAGGAGCCAGACTGGAACAGAGCTGACAAATGGGGTGTTTTCTGACATAAAAACTTATAGTATTTTGGAAGCATTCATCAATAAGCAACACTTACTTTTTAAAATAATATTTGATTTATTTTATTTTATTAAAGAATGAATGCTCATTGTAGAAAATTTGTAAAATATCTATGACAGGCAAACAAAAATATTACCTCTAGAGAGTTTGCTCGAATTAGAAAGGAACACACCCAAGAATTTGAATTTTCTTCCTTTCCAGATATGATCAGTACATTTCCAGTTAAGGGAAAATTCATCTCTTTGCCTATGCTGTCTCTTTGCTTAGCTAAGGGTGCAGGTCAGTGATAAATTGCTTTTTTTCTTTCGAAAAGTTCCCCAGTAGTAACATTTTGTAAAAGGCAAGATGGGTCTAGAGCCTAGCTCAGAATGAAATTTCTTTGCCTATAAAAATAACTTGGAATTTTTTTTTTTTCACACAGCAGTCTGCAGAAAGAGGCTGAGAATCCCAGAAACTAGGAAAAGAGGGATTAAATGGAAGGGAAGACTTTTGGACTTGAGTAGCAGAACCTGGCAAAATGGTAGTAGGCTGAAGGGTAGGGCACAAAACAGCCAGTGAGAGATTCTCTTTAAGATTCAGTTGTAAATTGTTTCCCATTTGGTGCTGTGTGGAAATATGCCTACTTCTCCCCAATACTTTAGTCGAAGTTGCTATACACTAGCCTTGTATTTGTGGTAATTTGGGTGTATGAAAGTAGAGGGATGAAGGCTACATGTGGGGCAGAGGTGATGAAAGAAGACTGCAGCTGCAGAAGTTGAACCCAGGACCTGAGACGACAGACTGTAGCTTGGACTGATTCATGAGCAGGCATATAAGAAGGTTACCCTGGAAAAGGAGGGATGAGTAAAGAGAATAGATCCTGCTGTTACCTGGGATGGAAACTCAATATACTTGAGTATTACAGGAATAAGTGACTCTGGAAGATTGGGAGACACTTGGGTTACTTAAGAAATGCATAAAATAGAAATGAAAAATTGCTTAGAATCCTATGTGGAGATAACCACTATTTACATTTCAAAGCCTATCCTTTTATTCTTTACTTTTTTATATATGGATAGATAGATAGGTAGAATCTTTAAGTAAAATGAATATCTTTTTTCACTTAACAATATATAGCATTTTTGAAAATCACTCAGAGTAGATTTTAAGTGTTCTCACCACAAAAAGATGATAAGCATATGAGGTAATACATGTTAATTAGCTCAATTTAGCCATCCCCCCATATATACATATTTCAAAACAGCACGTTGTACAGAAGTATTGCCGATTAAGATAAATAGATTTTTAAAAATTTAAAAAGCCATAAAATTATATATGTATCATTAGCTTCCCCCAGCTCCATAGCATTACATATAACATTTTAAAAATTTCCTATCATTCAACAAATATTTATTAAATACCAACTATGTCCCCAATTGTTTGAGGCCCTGTTAAACATTTATCAAGTGCCAGGTACTATGGCAAATGTTTTATATACATAATTCCATTTAATCCTCACAATGAGGTAGGCACAAAGATCTTGATTTTACAGATAATGAAATTGAGGCTTAGAGAAGTTAACCTGCCCGAGATCACACAACTTGGAAATGGTTGAGCCAGGATTCAAACCCAGGACTAGTATGACTTCAGAGCCCACTGTTATAAATCAGATGCTGAGTCACTTCACTGTTCAAGTATATGTTTTCATTTTTTTAACCAACCCCATATTTGATGTACATTTTAATTGCTTCCAATTTTGTGGTAACAAACAATATTCCAGTGAACATATTTGTACAATACATTTTTTTCCCCCTTTTTGTCTTTTTTACTGACCGGTAACAGGATCGCAACCCATGGTGTCACGCCCGTACCGGGGACCGGCAACGGGATCGCAACCCTCGGTGTTGCGCCCGCACCGCGCTCAGCCAGTGAGCGGGAACCGGTCTCCACATGGGATCCGAACCCTTGGCGGGAGCGCCGCTGCGCTCTCAAGTGGCACACTCTCCAGTGTGCCACTGGGCCAGCCCTGTACAATAC